ATAATTATTCTAGTTTTTGGCATGTAATCAATGTCACTGCAGAGTGTTTTTACCGACAGATTGTCATGTGACAATGTGTTCAGCAAGCTTGTTGAGAAATTTTGGTGCCAACAATTCTGCTACAAAGCAACTGCTGAAAGCCGTTAGTAGTACAATTCTGTCCACAAAACATCAGTCTTTGGGCTGTTGTTTTATGCTTCTTCTAGTCCCTTTTTTTTCACCTGTTCTTTTGTCCTCCCCTTTTTTCACAGAAAAAATTACGACTTCTTTGATATTTCACTGACAGCAATTCATAAGCAAACTCGCAATTGGCGCGATGACGAATCATCTAATAAGAAGCCCTTATAACATTGTACAAGTTACCACCTTTATTTTGTCAACAATTTGAGATACGTTTAACTGTGTCAAAATCTCCACGATTTGGTCATTTGTAAACTTAACTTTGGGAAAAAAAATAAGAGATTAAGTTGTTACGTTCAATAAAAAAAGAAAGAATGGAAGCGTAAAACTGACAGAAACAACAGTGGTAGTTTTTGGTATGCAAACTCGATGGCTTTGAAAGAGATGAACTGTAAAACAATAGAGGAAAAGGTATGTTTGCGTTTTACATTAAACTGTACCAATAGCTATTAAATTTTTAGGCCTTCTTTCTGGAAACTTCAGAAATACTGGTCATTTGAATATCTGTAAACAAGTCGTTTTTGGTCATCAGTGATAAGTTTTGTGTTGTCGATGGGCATCACATCACATACACAGGCTCAGTGTTCACTGATAAACCAAAGATCAAACGACTACCACTATTCAAGTTCAACGAATGTAATGTCCAGTTAAATATGTACATTCCAATGCTCAAGTTTACTTTCGCTTTACGTTTTTACGGTATACTTTTTATAGGTTTATAAATATCAAAAATGATAGACAGATAGCAAACACGTCAAGACGCTGACATTCCAAAAAAAACTTCTATGATGCAGTAAAATTTTCCCGAAACGACATCAACATTTGTAATCTCAATTTCTAGTAACAGGCGTTAAATTCTGATTATAGATCCAGTATTTTTTTGTACTGTTTACATTTTTTCAAAATCACTTTTTGCTCTATTTAGTAAAAAAAATTAGTTTTGTTCATTTTTTGTTTGTCTAAACATTAAATTATCTGAAAATCATCAAGTTATTTGCTATTTTCACTCTGTTTGAAGCCCAAATTATTTTCAACTTATAAAGAGAGATAATAGTTGCAAAAAAAATCTTAAAATTACAGCAATTACAAAAAAAAAAGAAAAAAAAAAGAGATGTAAAAAAATAAATACAATAATAGTGTTAGAAAGTTTTTTGATGATTCACTGCAGTAAAATTTTTGAATAATAGTCAAATTGAAGAGTTTTTTTTTTTTGAGAAGAAAGACTAAAAAAAGTACATAGTTTGTTTTTGTGATTGCTCATTAATCATAGTTTATTAATATAACCATAAAATTGACACAAAATCTGTTTTGCTTTTACACTTTTTCGGCAAACCTACAGAATAAATGAACAATAACTGAACTATTAATAGTTGATCAAAAAACAGACCTGAAACTGTCAACCGATTATTGTTAATCAAAGAACATAGGTGATACGTGTTTATTAACCACCGGATATCAACAAATATATAAATATTTCATTTCTGTTCTCTTGTTTTTCATCTCTGTTACAGGTTCTTTTTTTGTCGTTCTGTGAGACTCATGAATTGAAAATTGAAGTTTATTGATAATTCAACTGAGTGACATAAAATTGTTTGTTAAGTAATCAAATGAACATTCGGTTGATGCAGAGTTTAGTCAAATAGTATAAATAAATAAACAATATTACAAGCAAAATTTTTGCAAACTTTAGTTTTCAGTAAAAAAAATTACAGAAAAGCGAAATTTCAGCGGTCTCACTTGGTAAGTTTTTTGCAAATGACCAAATTAAGTCACACAAACTAAAGTTATAAATCTGAAAACTAAATAACGCCGACACTGCAACAACAAGGGACCCCTCTTTGCCAACATAAGATTGCTTAGTTTTTTTTATGAAAGCTAAAACTTGTTGCGTTGTCAAAATCTACTAAAATTTAAAATTTAAGAATAAAAGGTTTTCATAAACAACAGTCTTCACTTCTTTCTTTTATTCAATGTTTAAAAAAATATAGATTTTAATAAAAAATACGCTGCCATCTTAAACATAAAATTTACTTCTGCAGTAAGCGAGAATTTTTAAGCATAAGTTCTTAGTTGCTGATAGAGATAACATAAGTAATTATAAGTTTGGTAATAATATTAAGTTGTGTGTAGTTTTTAAAAGTGTAGAAAAAATTAGTGAGAAAAGAGAAAATGAAACATTTAATATAAAATTTTTGCTGTTTGTAAAGTAGCAAACCTTAGGTTAAATTAAGCTTACACCATGTTTTTTCTTTTTGTTCTATCGTCTTTTAGCGTGATAACTTAAAGCCAATTTTTTATAATAAATTTTTAAATTTATATTTTTACCAAACATATGCAATTTTTTTGCTGTTTTCAGAAACACATTTATTGTACGTGTTTTTTTTTTTTTTTTT